AAACGGACAACAAATGTATCATACGAATATCCTCCCCCCAGGTAGGTCAGGGGGGGGGGGTCTTTATATGATCTAGCCTGACGGGAGGGTATTATGTATTATGTAATATAAATTGTGCAATATATTTTTTATATAAATGTGCAATTCCGTTCATTTATTTCATCAATAACAAATACTATATTGTTTGTCAAAGGAATTCACATTTTATATTTAATCATACTACTTTGAAAAATAAAAAAAATCGATTATACAGCATGATGTTTACGTGGGTTGGTTTGGGTAGAACGGAATAATATCTGTATTATTGGCCTACAAACAAAGAAATAGGCGCTAATGTTGCCTAAAATTCATATTAATATTTGTTAAAAAAGCATAGGCGTCGAGAATGGTAAGCCGATAGCTATGATAAAACTTATACTGGCCATATTTTTGTTTAAAAAAAAAATTAAAAACATTTCATTTCCAATTCATAGAACGGTGTGTGGCCTGCAAACTAAAAGTGAAAATTAAATTATGAAGGCATATTTATTATGTTTTGACGTGCCCTGTCATCGAAGGTGGACGACATTTTGTCACACTCTTGAAAGCTCACGTAACTTCCCTCTAGATATATTATGACTGCGTTTTGTGCAATGTCTCGCTACAAAACATTATACTCGTCCTCTTATCTCTTACCTCCTCGGGTCATATACTTTCAATTTCCGCTATTTCATTGGAATACATATTTTCATTAAGTATACCATTGTTGTTCTTACATTTTGGATACTGGAATACTGTTCATGCTCAGAACAAAATGGCTAGTTTGAACGATGTCGTCATTCATTCGTCTTCGATACCTGCTATGCAAATTGTGTAGGGTCGATTTTCATAGGATAATATAATTCTAAAATTAATAATTCTCACGTTTATTTTATTTCTATTTTTATGAAGGTCTGGAAATGTGTCATTGCTCAGTATATTAAAGTTTTATTGGCCGACAACAAATTTTATCAAAACGAAACGATTTTTCGAATAAAGGAAACGTGTTGCAGATTTCGTATTTTTCTCGAAACATAAAATATAATCAATAAAACATTGATTTTGGTTACACAAATTTTATTTATCGATGCTGACTCTTTACTGGAAATCATTTTACTTCATGTAACACGAAATATGTATCGTGCCATCAATCACACAATGCGCAGAAGACGTAACTATAGCGCACGTTTTCGGCGGGTCAAAGTGCAATAGAATATTACGACACTCTCTTTTCCCAATGCGGAAGACAGAATTTCCCGTCAATGAATGCAAACAAAGGAGTTAGCTCAATTATTATTTCATGAAATAGAGTGTTTAGAGATAGTAAGTAAAGCTTAATGTCTTCTTTGTTTTGTCAGCGATAACATACAAGAAGTAAGTTTATTCAATACGAAAACTATCTTTAGAGAACTTGTTTGTCTTGGAAGTAAAAATTGGTGTCCAATGACTATCTTCCACAATTAATGTTCTTGACTTACAATAGAAAGTGCGACTAGTACGTCGGCTCATGACATCAAAGCTTTTTTTTATTTTTCGCACCCACGGCATTAGGTAATTTCGCTTCGCCAGCATTGAAACCGATCGCACATCATTTCAATATCTTTCTCTCATGTCCTGGTACAAAACAACAGTTGCCAGTTTCCGTTTTGACATTTATTCTCACGATATTATATTATGAAAAGATAAAGATCGAAACCTGTAGCTTTGTTGTTTCAGGCAACGCATTGTGCTTCGATTGTCGTCAGTACGGGATTTCATGAAAAGATAATTGGTACAAAATGTGTAAAGGCTGTTTAAGCCATGGGCACTGAATTCGTATTCACCTGGCCCTATAACACGCAAATGACACATCAATATTCGGTAATGAATTCTCAGCGCGAATGCTGGAAGGATTTTCAACCTCTTGTTGTTTTTGCACTCATTAAAATGCACCAGATCATCCAATTAAAAGGTGGTTATATCCGTCGTTACTGATTTATCTTAGATAATGGCACTGTTGCGTGACGCAATAATAATGTTGGCGTTGCCAGACTACGACGAAAATAAACTTCCCTAAAAAGTTGAGCTGTTGAATATGTTTCTACAATCCAAAAAATTTCCATCACCATAAATCAATATCATATTTGAAAATGCGTGCATGCATATCGACGTTGCATTCACAACAGATTATTTAACGCTGTGGTGTTGTAGACCTCCACGATGCCATTCGAATGTCGATTGGGAACATATAACCATCCCCATGCTAGAATTTGTCACTAACTTATATAGAGTCTTATGTACCGTATGTAACTAAATGAAGGTACACGACATACCGATTTCAGGAAGGCGCGAAACAATATTGTCTTCCAAATTGCTGCGTCATCAAAATTCTTTATCTCGTCATTTATACACAACTGAGTGAAGCTAAGAAAAGACACCTAAGATGTATCTTTGTTAGTTTTTGTTTTTATCAATTAGAATATGAATGAGATCGTTAATGAGAATAGAACCCGGAACCTAGATATCGAAATTCGAGTAACTGCTTTTATGCGTGAAATACCGGATCGTCAGCCATTTTGATTCCCGGCAAATACAAAGCCCAGGCAAAAAATTCATCAATCGCTTTCCCTAGTGTGAACTACGTGATCAGAGGTATACTTTCAAAATAGGACCTTAGTTGCCAGCCTTAATTACTATATTTTAAAAGACTCGTGTGTATGTTGTTGAATTTGTCTAATCACAAGATGTCACTTTTTATGTGATGGGCATGCCTTAAATTGAATGAAAATAGCACGGTTAAATTTAAAGGTTAAAAATGAAAATATTTCAAGAAATAGAATTCAATAAATAGAATACTTCCTAGAATCAACAACCAAAATTATGCAGATTCACCGAGATAAAATTCGATAAAAAAAACGTTTTCAATAAATGCTAAAAATAAAAAGCAAAAAGGTATTCATAGTCACACGCTTTTCATGAAATATGATTCAACTATTTTTAGTGGGTGTCTCAATTCGTTAAAACTATGACAAGTTCTTTCTACAAAACAAATCCAATCGAAGATATGATAAGGTGATATAAATTCTCAAAAAAAATAGACCCGTGTAATGTTACAAACGGAACGTAATTTTCACAATTCACGAGCAGTAAAGCATACAGAACTGTATATATAATGTACTTTTTGTTTCGATTTTGATTCTTAGTTTCGCGTTGCTTCGGCATATTAGCCGCTATGTGGATAAGTGAAGAAACACAATTAACACCGAGCAGACGCAAGTAAAAATAACCTGACCAACCAGTTTCCAATGTAATTTTCAAGCCCGACGATTTTCAGGGATTATTTTGCCGAACAGTTTTCATTAAACTTCAATATTAATTTTCAAACTACAACAAGATTAGTTCACTAACATTGTCAAAAAGTAATTCTTAACTTCAAACAAGCATGACAGTTCGATTAATTACCGAATACGAGCTGTTTCATAGGACATTTTGTGGTTCAAAACAACATCCGAAAGTGATTACACAAAAAAAATGTCAGAATGTCAAATTATTTTATTTCTAATTTAAATACCATTACAGAAAATATTGTGATGTAATGTGAAGTACGATATTATTTATAAAATACGACCAGATATAAGTTGGATTCCAGTTTCGAGTGACAGAACGATTATAAAAATGAACATTTCAAAATCAACCACAAATTTCAGTTTATTCGTTACTCTAGGTCGCCACCTAGTCGTAGCGAAGAAGCGAACTATTATGACATTTTATGAATACGTATAAACAATATAGTGTTTTTAATCGAATTATAAACAATAGGGATGTCAACTGTTTTAATCGAGACTTACAAACATTTGATCTGTTTTTATAATAGTCGTCTTCTTGTCAATCATCATGAGTGCATGCTATATAACGCTACCATGACGTAACGTTTTTGGATACTATGGCATTATATTATAACTTTGAGATTATTAAGTTGTTTCTGAATTTAAATATATGCCGTACAAAAGATAATAAATTAAAGTTGACAATAGTTGGCAATTGTCAACTTCATTACTATTACATCATAAAGCTCAAGGAGTCACAAAGTCAAGATAAAGCACGCTGGTGACATTCACTCATTAGTCTTCCCAGTGCAGTCTTGAAAAAACATTCAAAAACTTTACATTTCTTGTACTTGGCAAAAATTTAGTTGAAGTCCAATTTATTACACAGCAAATTCACTATAGAGATTCCCACCAAGTACTAGAACTACTAGCGATGATTTTCACTTTCTTAATATTTTCAAAAAGCCATGTTTTTTGCATTGGTATTTTGCCTATAACTCCAATGTTATAGTACATGAAAACATATGTTTTTTTTATTTATAAAATGAATACAACAACAAGATATTTAAACGCTATTGAACGTGATATTTTGGCAATTGTTTATTTTCAACTAAATATGGGTGTCAAAAGATAGAAGAAATCAAGTGTTCGCAATCAGATCCATGCTTTTGTGTACATCAATGTTAATAAAATTTGGATCATACATACAGGGTAAATTTTATATGTATGTTTATTATACAGTAAACAAAAATAATGTAACGGCCAAATAAAGCTATTATGAACGCACCGGAATTTAATCGTTTGTTGTAATGCGAACAGGAACTGCGTCAATAACTACAATTGGTAATTTTATCATCCTATACAACTTCCTTTAACCAACCAACTGAAAGTTTGTGAAACTCCGCAAATTTAAACACTTTCTACAAAAACTAGATGAGTTGTTGCAAACAATAATTAGTTGCTAGCAAACGTGTTATTTTACTATAGCATAATTTTATATATTTTTCTGGAAAATATTTATATTGACTGGTAGATATAACAACTGAAAAGTCCCCATTTCACCATAACATTATAAAAGAAGGTAAATGTAGGCAATTGAAAAACTTTATTTCCACAATAAATATTTTAATTATTTTTTACCCAAGCAGCAAACGATTAGATATTATTTAAAAAAAAATGGGAACAACTTACATTTTATTGTGCCTTATTCCTTTTTTTTCTGGAATTCACGAAGCGCATGCAATAGTTCCGTCAACCGTACTACCAATATCGTTAGACTTGACCGAATACATATCAACATTTGGTGGAGCATCTGTTGTCGAAGATGCAGATATGATTCTCCAGCAAGAAGTTGAAAACATGGAGAGTGACCTCAGTTTTGGTATGAGACAATTGATGTCCACCCTCATCGGGTTTCGTGCAAAATTTCTCGTCGAAGTCAACGCAACTGCTGTGAACCACAAAAATTTAGGTAAGAAATCTGTGCGTGATAAAGTGGTTTTAAAATCTTGAGATGTACAACAGTAGCACTTTTGCATAATCGAAAGTGAGTATAATAATATATATGTCAAAACAAAAAAACTAACACTATACATAAATTGCATTGATTGATTGACAAGCAGACAAACTTTTTCGTTTACAAAATGCGTAACATGCACACAAATCGAGGTGTACAAATCTATAAGATAGTTAGATGTACGATTAAAATGACAAAGAGAGTTCATAAACCCAATCTAACGGCGGTATTTTTTTTTTATATTAGTCACCATTGTGCTCATAAAATCAGTATCGTTCTGAATGGAACGTTCGAGTTTCACGAGACGGCTCTATTTGTATTTTAGATTTACTTCAGGCTTACCTTGAACTGGACTTCATACTGTTACAATATTTTCTAGAAGATACTTTTTGCGATTTGCATAACTGTGAGAATGGTGGAGAATGCCTTCTTAAACCACTGGATGAGCTACTAACGTATGACGAAGTTTTACATCTACAGAGTGAATTGTTTGAAACAATGAGAAAGATTTACAAAAATCCAATTGGATTCTGGCTCTTTCTTGATCAATTTTCTTACGTACCGGGAAAAACACCAAACGATCCACAAGCTTTTCAAGAGATATTGCCATCAGGTGACGTGGCCATTTTTATTGCGTTGTCAATAGGTGTTGGAGCTCCAGACACGCCAGATCCTCTTGAGATGTATCAATACGACTTTTCGTCTATTTTCAATGGGGAGACGTTGGCAATTCTTGGAAAAATATTGGACATTATGGCACATATAGTAAGCGATAAAAACGCGAATCTTGAAGCAATAGCCGCAACTCTTGTGGAGTGCAGTTGTGAAAATTGTTTCTCAGGTTCAAAGTGTGAAAATATTGTAACGTGCAACAATTCGACAACGACAGAAAATTCACTTCTTGCGCAACAACAACTTTGGGGATGGCAAGGATCTTATTACCAATTAGGATTAGGTAATTAATTGAGACCGGATTATAACGGAATAGTATTTTTATCCGACCAGAAATATTCGTAAAGCCTATTTCAACATCGCAAATTTGTAATGATGATGTTGAAATATTTATCGTAGGCATGAAAATTTCGTTTTCAAAATCATTGCAGATCTGAAAATATGAATTGACAATCTGTTGCCCGCTATGCCAGGAGTACTTAGATATTTACTGTTCATTTATTTACCCCAATTTCTGGTCGCAGTTTTCACTATATATCAAAAATTGTTTGTACTACTTTACTAATTGTACAAACTTTGTCCATTCATTTCTTTTTCCTTGTGTGGTATTTGTTTGCTTAACAATCGTGAATTTTCGACATAAAACTGCATTGTGAAATATGACAATCGTTATTACAAGTTGTAAATTGGGTTACAAAGCTAGTATAACTTAAGTTCAACACACCAATACACAACTCAACTCTACTAAAACAAAGTCTTTTCATTCTTACTTTTAATTATTCGCAAAAACATTACATAAGGATGGGATGCTCAGTATGAGCGAGGCTACAGTGTTCAGACCCAGTAGCGTAACTACCCATTGGATCTTGTGGATAAATCCAGGGGCGGCACGTTGCTGGAGGGCGGTAAAATGTGGCAAAACGTGTTGGATTGTATTATGTGTTTACGACCTATTATGGAATGCAAAAGCAAACCACAGACAAGAAAGTAAACGCTCTCCAGTATACAATCAAAGGGAATCTTGCGCTTAGGACTGTTTGATGAGGTTTATCGTATTAGGCGCAGTCTTTTTTATAGCTAGACGAATGTCAACATCAAGACGGTTTATTAATTTTGTTTTAGTGGTAAGAAAAATTGGCTTTTGCTCTGACAGAAACTCGAACTTAGTCAATGTGCGTTCCTGTCAAATCTAACTCGCTTGGCAGCAAAGAAACCGATGCCAACGTCTTTCACCGGGGGTGAATTTTGTCGCGGTATTTTGGAGTTCAGATGGACGTAATGATTAATTGCTCATTGCATACGAGCAATGCCAGCAATAATCACATTCTCTGGCATCTCAATTTACTTTGGTAAGTCAACGGAACTGTTGTTGTTGTTGTTAGTACATCTTTCTGTGCTTTGAAGGCCCAGGAACGCAGCTATTCATGTGTTCAATTTTCGTAATTGCGTCTATAATACGCTAGCGAAGGTTATCTCGCAGTCGAGTGGAACTGCAATTCCGTAGGTTAGACCAGTGGTTCCCAAACTTTTTTGACCATCGCCCCCCTAAAGTAGTTTATACAACTTCATCGCCCCCCTGCACTACAAAAAAATATAAAGTCAGAAACGAATATATTACAGACCAAATAAGAAGACAAATCATAGTTTATAGTGTTTGTTAATGAGATAGATGAGCTTGGTGTTCTTCAGCGAGTATTTTTTTATATCTAAAATTACCCCATTTACTGATGGAGAGGTGATTTCGTTATTTTAATAGCAATAGTAGCACGGCTGAAAACCCCTTTTTCACCATGTAATAGGTCGGAAATGAAAGAATCCAGAGTTCTACCTCCTCAAAAACCGCCGTGTACTCTTGCCTTATAGCATTTCACTTAAATTCACCCCATTTCACATTAAAATAATAAAAACAAAGTTAACTTTCCCAAACTTATAATAATGATTTTCGTACATTTCATTCATTTGTACAGTCTGATGACCTGCACCAAAATACTTCGGAAAAATCCATCCCCGATTCCTCATCCTATCACGGCCTCCAGTCCGATCACCAGTCCATAATTAACCAGCCATTTGTTTTTGGATTCATGGACTCGGATGTGGAAGAAGCCGTGACTGACTATCGGCTACGGCCCAGGGGTCGGCAATATTTATGTCGCTCGCAGGACAAAATTCAGGGTTGCTAGGCTTTTGCGGGTCCCATATATTTTTTGAAAGTTAAAAACGGAACACACGCGAAAACTGCGACAATTCGTGAACTCAACTCAGTCGTCTTATTAAAAAAATATTACAATGATATTTAATGTGACACTGTCTTGTTGCTGCATCGCGCTGGATAGCTTTACGACGCCAAGATTGAAACATTTTATAAATGGGCATCACCAAACCCACTTCTTTGCTTGTTCTTTGTAATGTTCATTTTCGAAATTAATGGTTTGCACAAATATGTACTTCCAAACATCGAAGTGAATATTTTCGCATGATTTGTGAAATTTTGATAAATATTTTCTTTAAGAAGATAAATTCTTACAAAAATTAAGCAGTGATGAATCTCTCGAATAGAATATGAATTTTATTTCCTTATTGCTTTGCAATATATTCGAATATTTACTGCGCTATTGAACCCCTGCACTCAGCATCAACTTTTCAGCGTGTTTCCATTTGTCTAATTATAATTAAATTGTAGGCTCGTTAAACTAGTGGCTGTTCACTAAGTTGTTAGGATATAGTATAATTTAGTCTAAACGTGACTCACGATAAATTCTGTTAGGTAAAAAATGTAATTTACTCCTCGAGCGCAGATTATAAATAAAAAAAATTCATCGTCAAAACCGCCGTTTGGATATTTCCCCGGGCATAGACTTCCTTGTTTACTTCTTGACATTGGCCAATCAGCAAGATGCAAAAAACATAACAATGCCCCCTTTCGCAGGCGCTCAGACCATCTCACTCAGACAGTTTTTTAGGCGTGGTCGTGAGCACTACCTACCCATTTTTGCGTTTTTGAATTATATTCGTTAGTTTTTAGTTGTTTTTCGGAAATTTAAATATGATTCAAATAAGTCAATGATTACTTTGTCTTTCTATGAGTTTCAGTTTAAATACAGCAATCAAAAATTAATGTAGAAATAGCTGTGAAAGACTAGGCTTAAATTCTTTATCGGTACTTCTAAAAAACAGATTGTTAAATGGTGTGTATTAGAATGATAGTTTGAAACAAATACCCCATTTTACAAGCAACAACTCGCGAAACCACTCTTAAAATAAGCACCGAAAATTTTAAAATGGTAAATTAGGGAAAAATTTTCCGCGGTCAAAGGTCCATTTAGTGAATCGTCCCGGGCCAGATTATTTTACTTCGGCCGTATTTTGCCGACCACTGGGATACGCAAACTACCTTACCTTACTGCGAAGACGAGACCAGAAATCCTTTCGCGTGTGAATATCGCCCACATGATTCAAGCCGGCGAATGCACACAGAGTACAGAATTAAGTGCGCCGAACATAAAACAGCGTTCGCGAAATCGCCCCCCTATCGCCCCCTTAGACTTTTCGCCCCCCTCTGTATCGTTTTCGCCCACTGGGGGGCGATATCCCCACTTTGGGAATCACTGGGTTAGACCAGACGGCCTACCGGCGAACTATTTCCATTGGTAGATTTCAAATTCCATCATGATCAAATAATTCAAGTACAAGAAAGTGAATACCCCCTGACCCTGTGATCGCAAATAATCCTATTCAGGTAATGAAACTGCCGTGAAAAGCATGCAAACGAAGTCGCTATATAATAAATTATTAGTCTTGTGTCGTGGCCCCCCTCGAACTGCTTCGTGGCCCCTGTTGAGATCGACTATGGGAGAAAGCAGGCTGCCTGTGCCAGCAATACTGCTCATTGAAAGTGATTTAGTCGAGACATTATCTTTTGACGATATAATTTCTGAATTTGCTTCAATGAAAACTAGACTTCGATAAAACTTTCGATGAAATTTACTATTCACTGCTTTAATTCTTCTGTTGTGTTGAATTTTATTCAGCTTTTACAACACAACAGGAACCATTCTATTATAATGGCTACAAGTATACATAAACCGTTGAAAAAAATGTTACGTGGTTATCAAGAAATTCCAGTACATGTAATTGCTTTTAGTAGTCAAAATAGTCAATAATGGTTGGTATCCCAGATAGAAAGCATAGCCATAGAGTGAAATACATATAGTGATTTTTAAAATCAAGTATAAGTCCATAATTACCGGTAGTTAAGAAATCGCTTGACTCCATATCAGAAGGTTGCGTGTTCAGATCACGTCGGATTCACCAAATATAGTGATTAGTTATCACCACACGTAGATTGTTTGTAGATTTGATCTAATTGATCTAATTACCTACGAATAATAGTGTAACTCATGTATTTTTTCCTCATAAATATTATGGAGCTTTAATTAATTTTATAAGACAACATAACATCACAGGGAATGATTTGAAACAAGGGAAGCATAGGCTACTTTATAATAAAATAGTGAACAACCTTAATGGGGGAAATAGATTTGTGTTTCTTCGAGATGGTACTTTAGAAGGGGCCTGCTCTAATATTCATAGTAAAATATTGTCCAATGGTGTAAAATCCTTTAATTATAAATTAATGTGGGATGTTCTTCCTCTTAAAGTAAAACCCAGAATCAGACATGTTGCTGGCAATGAATTATGTGTGTTTTGTTCACAAGAGCCTGAGTTTGTTTCACACATATTTTGGAACTGTCCATTCACACAAGATGTGTATGATTATGTTTATTCTATTGCCTTAAAAATCAATTATTGTGTTTTGAGAAATAATTATATTACGTGTATTTTATTAGATTTGAATCAACAATGTTATTCACAATTGTCAAACTTGGAACGTAATGCCATTATACTATTATTTTGTACTGCCAGACATAAAATTTGGTTGGAGAGAAACTTAGTCATTTTCCAAAATGTTAATCCTAATGTCAACAATGTGATAATGAAAATTAAGAACTCCCTCATAGCAAGAAGGAATATTGAAAAGTGTAGACAAAATCCAAATTTTACAAGAGAACTTGATAGTTTATATAATAGCTTCTGATTAGTATTGCATAGTGAACCTTAGTATTGAAACTAATAAATTTTTTATGTTTTCATTATTATAATTAATGCTAATGAATAAATATTGTACTAATGATTAATGTTGAAAATACATACTGGATATACCAATGGACTATTATATGGAAAAATGGACTATTATGGAACAACTACTCTGCTGATGATGTATTTGTTTTGTCACCTGTATACATATTGATTAATCCACATTGTGGAAACATTAAAAAAAAAAAAAAAAAAAAAAGATTGTTTGTAGATTTGATCTAATTGTGTGTGCATTGTATTTCTGTATATTTTGTCGGAATTGCAATAAACTCATAGGATGTGGATTACCAATGTAACGCTTGCAGAAAATCAGATTGCATGAACTGATAACGCAGAGCCCAAATGGCCGGAGCGGACAACTTGCAGCAAACTATAGATACGATATATATATTCACCAAATATAGTGATTAGTTATCACCACACGTAGATTGTTTGTAGATTTGATCTAATTGTGTGTGCATTGTATTTCTGTATATTTTGTCGGAATTGCAATAACCTCATAGGATGTGGATTACCAATGTAACGCTTGCAGAAAATCAGATTGCATGAACTGATACCGCAGAGCCTAAATGGCCGGAGCGGACAACTTGCAGCAAACTATAGATACGATATATATCTGTATATAGCAGTGGTTCTTAAACTTTTTCGAGCGCGACCCAAATCTGAGTTTTATGAATACTCGCGACCCAATCCTAAATAACGCAAAATGTGTTTTTAATGTTAGTACAGTTTGACTCAAATACAGACAACTATTTATTAGAAACAGTCCATTGACTGAGTGAGATTGATGAAACTGAAATTTCCTTTTCATTATATCTTCAATACACAGCTCTATTTTACTTAACGCAATACGCAAGTTGTCACGGGTATCGAGGCGATTGCGAGCTTAGTTTTGATAACCGTCAGTGCCAAATATCCTCGCTCGCACAAGTGCCGTGTCGCGAATTGTGAGGAGGGTTATCTTATGAGATATGATATTTCATACAAAATTTCGCGGTATTTATTTTTACTCATGGGAACACTGTTTTACACTTATTTCAAGCGGTTTCGCGATCGATTGTCTTGCTCAGTACTACAGCTGTAGGTCGGTACTGGTAAGTTGCCATACAGGTACCGTAACGCAGTGAAATTGACTTAGGTATTCCTTCCGCGGTATTACTAATGCTGCAATGCAAGTTTTATAGCCTATCGTATGCGGAACGGAATATCAGACCTACAGGTTCGGTACCGGTACTGGTAGCTCAGTACGTAAGTACGATACTGGTACTGGTGCCGGTACCGGTGTCTTACCACAATGAAATTACCGTAACTTATTCTTTCACGGTCCTACCGGTACCAGTGCAGTAATGCAAGCGTTGTAGCACTTGTAGCCTACTATATTTGTTTATTTTGATGAGAGTCTACTGGAAACAACATAAAATTTGAAAGGGAAGAATTGTTCTGTGATCAATTATCTGTCCTAAAGTGTAAACAACATAAAATTTGCAAGGGAACAACTGTTCTGTGATCAATTACGGTATATGGCCTACAGTGTACAGGTAAGATGCTGGCTGACTGCTAACCGGTACTGGTAGCTCAGTACGTAAGTACGATACTGGTACTGGTGCCGGTACCGGTGTCTTACCACAATGAAATTACCGTAACTTATTCTTTCACGGTCCTACCAGTGCAGTAATGCAAGCGTTGTAGCACTTGTAGCCTACTATATTTGTTTATTTTGATGAGAGTCTACTGGAAACAACATAAAATTTGAAAGGGAAGAATTGTTCTGTGATCAAATATCTGTCCTAAAGTGTAAACAACATAAAATTTGCAAGGGAACAACTGTTCTGTGATCAATTACGGTACCGTATATGGCCTACAGTGTACAGGTAAGATGCTGGCTGACTGCTAACCGGTACTGGTAGCTCATTACAGCATTACGTAAGTACGATACTGGTACTGGTGCCGGTACCGGTGTCTTACCACAATGAAATTACCGTAACTTATTCTTTCACGGTCCTACCAGTGCAGTAATGCAAGCGTTGTAGCACTTGTAGCCTACTATATTTGTTTATTTTGATGAGAGTCTACTGGAAACAAAATAAAATTTGAAAGGGAAGAATTGTTCTGTGATCAATTATCTGTCCTAAAGTGTAAACAACATAAAATTTGCAAGGGAACAACTGTTCTGTGATCAATTACCGTATATGGCCTACAGTGTACAGGTAAGATGCTGCCTGACTGCTAACTCAGTACCGCTTGACACGTTTTTAAAAAGTCGCTTTTCTCTTCGAATACTGGACCAATTGCTTTGAAATTTTCAGTGGTTAAAGATAAAAATTTTCTCCAGAAGGCTATTACTTTTTTTTTTGCTATGACGTCATCAAAATTATGTGACTCTACGTGTCCATATATTTGAGCATAGCTCTCTTGTTTTTAAATACCAGAGTTTAGAAGCTAAATCGAAACATTGGGAAAGCTGAAAATTCTTCATTCTCCACTTAGGTTGCCCTTGCATTGACGACCTTGTCGCCAGAAGGCTATTACTTTTTTTTTCGCTATGACGTCATCAAAATTATGTGACTCTACGTGTCCATATATTTGAGCATAGCTCTCTTGTTTTTAAATACCAGAGTTTAGAAGCTAAATTGAAACATTGGGAAAGCTGAAAATTCTTCATTCTCCACTTAGGTTGCCCTTGCATTGACGACCTTGTCGCGACCCATTTTTAAACCTTCCGCGACCCATGTTTGGGTCGCGACCCATACTTTAAGAACCACTGGTATATAGTCTTTGACTTACAGCAATATTTAGGTGTTGCTCTCACCAGGAGACAGGGAGATGTAAATTTAGCATAGCCTATCTGGTATCATTTTTCTTTCGAACATGTATTTTGGTGTGAAAAAACTAGGCGCAGAAGTCAGGAAGTGGCGCACAACGCAGGTTCGTAAGCAGATACGATAGAAACGCTTTAGGATAGGATTTACATAATAGGCTATGTACCGGTATCCCGGGCAAAAGGAAAGCGATAAGACGGCTTAACCGGTTCCATTACATTTGAACCCACGTACATTTGAACCCATGACAATTGCACCTGTATGCTATTGCACCTATGGAATTTTTTTTGTTTCACGGATAGTTAAACCCATACTAACCCTAACCCATGGGTTTTAGCACCCGCATATAGATTGAACCCGTGGATATTCGCATGGGTTCAAATGTACGGTCACCGGCTTAACCATATGGCGAACCACGGCCTCTCGCCCGGTTACCATTCCAAGTCGGGTACCCGGTAGGTATGAGATTTGTTAGTTATTTGTTTGGTCTCGTTAGTTATTTGGACTTTATGGTACAGGAAGCCGTAACCGACCAGCGGTTACGTGAACCACCCAACGGCGGCGAGAAGTCCAGCGATCCTCTCGCACATTACCATCCCTGCATGAGATTCGAACCTGCGAACCCACGCAGAGTAATCAGAGGCACGAGGGCAGCGTATTCCTAACGCTTAGCACGATGAGCCACACCGCCTACAGACCACTGTCACACCAGCCAAATATCAAATTTGCCTACAGGGGTGGTGACTCTTCTAAGGCCCATGGGCCGGGGCCACGGTCCATCTAATTGGGCCACATGGACCGTGGCCCATCAAGCGTTGGGCCGCTGCCCCATCAGAAAAAATTCAGATATTTTATCAAAATTTTCAATTTTCACGAAATTGTCAATATTCGAACCAAAAAAAATTGTGGGATGCCACAGGAAAGGATACTTTTGTACCGTAGTATGTGTACCAGGTTGGGGTTAGGACAAAATTTTGTTCAGATTTTCCAGATTATAGTTCTATTATGAGTTCGGGGACTGTCTGTGTTAGCCAAGTGAATAGTCCCTTCACAGAACTTGATGGGCCAATTCGATGGGCCGTAGAGGAGTCACCACTTCGACTCGTTTATCATCTGATTGAGCCTTGTTATCGACTTTCCTCACCCTCTGGATAAATATGAAAATTCTAAATACAGTACCTACTGAACTAGCTTTTATTCTGGTCTGTTATTACTATTCTCCAGAATACATCAAGGAAAATTGTATTAGGCTTTTCAATTTAAATAGACATAACGTGGCACTGATCATGAGCGACAATACATCAATGATTCAGGATATCTTGGATAGCTTAGATGATTTGAGGTATGTTGTTTACTCTCTTTCATCAGTTAATCATCATATGTCAGATTGATGACTGACAGATTAGCATATGCTGATATGGTACAATGCACAGGGGTCAGCATTCAATAAACATGATCTGATGATAGTGTAGATTGGTACAAATTGACAAAGGTGGATTGGTCTTAGCTTTAAATATTAAAATTGGCGATGAGGCATGTCTTATTTCGAGTATTTGTTTTTTTAGGTTATCAGGCAATATCAAGGATGAAGTCTCTTTGTGTGCGGTTGTAAAGAATGGTGCTTCGTCACCAAAGTACATCCAACTTGTTGCTACTGCTGCAAACGAACTTGCTCTGCTGCTTCAATTAGAAGAGAGAATAACTCCAGGTTCGCTCTTGAATTGTGAAATAGAGGTCAGTCAAGTGTGTCATAATTCTAGAGATCTAGAACAGGGGTGGTCAACCTGCGGCCCTCAAGAAAAAATTGTGCGGCCCGCGGAGAAGTGATAAATGTGCGGCCCGAAACAAGTTTTTAATTCAATTTGGTCTGTGGGTTGCGAAGCCTATACCTGAGTCCAATTTATTATCTATGAGTCATGACTATGCCTTAACAACTAGCTCGTGCAAGCAACGCATGTCACAAGATCAATAACCAAAATTTTTTTGCTTGCATCTAGTAGATAGCCTATGTAAGGCGCGACCCGTGGTTTCCCCCAGTTATTTGAATCTGGCCCTCCTGTATTAAATGTTGCACACCCCTGATCTAGAAGTTAGAACATTACTGTGGTAAGGTACTTCTAAATTTCATGGAACTTAATATACTATTATTGGAGAGCTCTAGTTCAAAGTTTTGATGCAAGTAAAGGTGTGCAAAACGCTTGTGAGTAAACTATAAGTTACGTGAACAAACTTGGTATAACCTTATTGGAAAAGCTGGCCTGTAATGATCAATTCTTGTCAACTGATTCAATTTTGATCTAGTTGCCTAGTTGTTTGGGTTTTCTTTATCACACACATATTTTTACTAAAATAACTAATATTTGCTGGAAGTTACAGTGAAATTTTTATATTTTTCTAGATTCCTCAAACTCGGAGAATTTTTTATTTGAAGTCAGCAGTTTGTTGAGTGAACTGGGATGTCCATATTCTTTTCTCACTCAAGGAGACTTGAAATCAAGGTTAAAAACTGATCATCATTGTTTAACTTTACTGTGTGAGTTTTCTTTTCAATGTTCTATTACTTGTTATTAAGGAGGAATTATTGCTATTTGTTGGAATGGGGTGGCCTAACTAGGTCATTTGGAACCTATTCTTGGCTTGAAAATTCATAACTTTTGTGCAAAGCGGCCCAGATTACTGAAACTTCCGGGTATAATCATACACAAACAGAGGTGTTGAATAATTTTTTCTTTTTCGTGAGAGTAATTGAGAAATTAACGAGTTCGGTTTTTAGGTCATCTTGTATTAGTGTGTAGTCTTACAATGAATTTTTTGTATATACCTCAGTAGTCAAATAGAACCGGTTCACTAACCATCTTAATAAGTATGAGGTGCTTTTACACTCGTTTTGCGAATTGATTTATCATATTATTAATAATATACCATACTGTGCATTGTGCAACATGTGGTGATGCTGTCAATGCAATTCAATATTTGATAATAATCTGTAAAATTATCTCTGTGGTATCATTTTATTATATTATTTTAATTGCAATTTGCAAAGCTGCTTATCTACTTTCCAAGGTTTTGAATTTTCTGACATATATTTTATTTTTCTACAGTATTTCTTTTATCTGAACTTCAAGCCGCAAAAATGGATATTTTCAATAGTCCATCTATCACAAGCAATGTAAGTTATTTTTTCTCTAACCATTTTAGCGTTAAGTTCTCCAAAATATTTCATAGAAAATTGAAATTAAATAATGAAAAAACAATCGACTTCTTTGGAAAAGATGTAATTTTTTAGGCTTCCAATTGAACAGTGAAAATATGTTCGTTCCACAAGGATTTACATATTTAACCCTGCGAAAAGGAAAGCCGGCTTATTCATATGGCGAACCACGTTCCCTCGTCCAGTTACCAGTCCATGGTGGCCATTGGTGGGTATGGGATTAGTTAGACGTTATTTTTAATTTCAGACGCATGCATAGACTTGATGGTTGAGGAAGCCGTAATCAACCAGCAGTTACGTGAAACACCCTACGGTGGCCAGGAGTCCAGCAGTCTTCTCGCACATAATATTCTCATGGAATTCGAACCTGCGAACCGATGCAGGGTAGTCATAGAAACTGTGTCAAGCCTTTTACTAAGCTTGGCACTATCGCCCAGCCATGTAGTACCGGTAATTCAAATTCAAGGGAAAACGCACGCCTGGACAACTCTGCTTAGTATTGTTGCATTCCCATCTGTTTACAAATTTTATTTTGTGGTTTCTTATACATATATAGGCTCATACAGGCAGCGAAGAATTCAAGCAATTGAAAAATTTATGCCTTGCCCTTGATATGAAGAAACCTCCCGATAATATTGATATTGCAAGATTCATGCAAGGAATTGATAATAAGGTGATTCGATTTTTTATCTCTTAGTCTTTTTTTATTTCTGTTTTATATCAAATTTGTTTCAATATATAGCCTTCAAAAAGCATAGTCCTATAGAAATTTAATAACTAACGGTTAGAGGCGAGCGTTACACTTAAAACTGTGTTGGCATTGCAGATTACACATCTCCGGTTCCAAAATTTCCCCAACTCCCCCCCCCCCAACTCGTCCAGGGTGTAATAAATTGGCTATGCAAAGTTGTGTTTACACTAATTATGTGTACATTGATTGTGTTAATTATCATGTGGATTTTATCATTTTATCTCGCTTGGTTCTGACAAAGTAATAATGCAGCACATAGTTTCACTATCAAGCATTATATACACATAATCATTATGTCAATGACGAGTGTGGATCAGATGAGAAATCTGGGGTTATCGACCTTCATCCCAAGGGCAGTCAACTGTCACCCGACTGCTTTCTTGATTCACATCTACTGTTGTTGTCTGCATTTTGTTGATTTCCTGTCATTTACCAGACTGTCTTCAACAGGGCCCGAACTCACATCAAGCTTGTCGATTACCATTATTATATGCTTCTGTCGCACCATCCGGCCCATTTGTATTGAGTTTCTTTTGTTAAAATTTTTCTCATACAAGGCCAATGAACATTCTTTCTTATTGTGTTATTTTAGTTGAAAGAACAGATATCTTTATGCCCACAAGACCACCTTTCGACGCCAATCATTAAAAAGAAGCTTGGTCCTATTCACTGGGAAAAATTAGAAATTTTGAAGATAGCTTTACAAAAAGAATATGAAACAAGGAGATCAATGTTGTTAAAACGATTAGATGTCACCATTAATTCTTTCAACTGGTCTGAAAGAGCCAAGGTAAACTGTTACAACCAAAAATCTATTTTTCCAATAGCATTTTACTTGTAACGAGGCCCTAGTCGGCCAGTCTGTTAATTTTTCAGATTTTAGCAGCATATTCGTTTTGGTACTATGCAATACACTCTAGATAAAATATCAATTCCCGTAGCATGGAATATAAGGCTCCCAAAACTAACCTGAACATATCAACCTTGTGATTTTACTGGCATATCTAGGAAGTCTTTTCAGAATTTTCATATATTAAGAAAGAAAAACAAAGGCCTAAAGACAGTGGTTCCCAAACTTGCATGGTGCGTGGCCATTTTCCGAATACTCTCAACATGTAGTCCCTTGCTCTTCCGTAAAAATATCATTTTGCGTTTAACACGTTCCCATCAATTTTATTTTATTCAATGAAGAAATAAATAAAAAAGCCAACAATAAATAATGCATTGTAGTCAAAGAATTGAACAAATCTCAATCCATTTGCTTTAAATTAATATAATCACAGTGAAGGTTTTTGCTTTTAGCCCCTACAGAACTGCTCTTAGGCCCCATAGGGATGTAGAGGTCCCAGTTTACCCCGCCCAGAGAATTGTGGGAAAACAGCGACGAAGACCTGGTGAAATCTAATTATTCTAGAGCAAATTCAGACCATTTCCTATTTTTCTAATTTCAGTCCAATCTCGACAACGTTGCTAAAGCTTATCAAGAAAAAAGATTCCAATTGAAAGCAGAGAGTAACATAGCAGTTGCAAATTTATTAGCTGCTAGAGATGGTGTGTAATTTTTAATTTTACGTCTAATTTTAACTTTAGACATCAGCAAATTGCTTACTTGAAAATGTTATAAGGATTTTATTACAAGATCAGGATTTAAAATATTTCGAAAAATGTTTTTAAAGTATGTGGATATGTATATTCCTTACTCAAAATCGACCATCTCTCGGAGCTAAGTTATAACCAAACAAAAACTCGTGGGTTGTGGCATATATTTATTGGCTCTTATGTTCATTGTCATAAAAATGTACTTATGGATCGTTTTGTTATTATGTTGATCTTGTTAGTATTTTTGTTGTTGTGGAAAAATCGCTTTTCTTATCAGCTACTAGTCCATATGGAATCAATTTTTTTTTTGTGTGCGATTTCCACGTTTGTTGCTATGAGGTGGTTAAGCGAAGTCGTGAAGACTGCGGCACCGCTAGTCTACTGTGGCAGATTGCATACTGGTACTACTTCGTTTTGGATTTTGTATCCATATATTTAAGAATGACTCTTTTGTTTATGTTCAGATGCTCAACAAGTGAAACATATAAACCCTTATACTTTCATTCAGACATATCAATCATAAGCAAGACCGTTTCTGGAACAGCTCGGCAAAAATGTGCTATCAATAAAGTTACAATGGGACATGTAAGACTATACTGTGTTTGCTGATAAACTTTGGTTTTATAGTTAGTATAGAATTCACATATTAATCCCGGGGAGGGGAAAGATGATACGACAACTTAATCCTATGGCGAACCACTGCCTCTCGTGCGTCTACCAGACCATAATGGGTATGAGATTAGTTAGCCAGATATTTGTTTGAGATGCATGGAATTAATGGCAAAGGAAGCGCAGCCGACCAGTGGTATGTGAACCACCCTACTGCGACGATGAGCATAATATCGAGTTATTTTCTCTTTAGGTTCCCGATCGTGGTGGCAGAACTGATGAAATCAGTGCACCTTTGCCTGAAATGCCATCTTGGCAGAAAAGAAAAGATGGTGGACAAAGTGAGTGATACAAATTCTGGGTGACATATTCATAACTTATTCAAGTTGGCGTGATAGCCTAGCAGGTAATGCGTTAACTTCGTTGACATCACAGATTACACATCTTAGGTTCATATCCCAGCCCCCCTCCTAACTATTATAAATTGGGTATGCAATGGCAAACTAGTATTCTAAATAATAGTAACTACTTGCATATCAGTGGGGGCTTAAAAGAGCCTTGTTTGGAGCGAAATCTGTTCATAAGTGCCTTGTAGAGAAAAGAAGAAATTTCCATGACATCATTTTGTTTTCAGTTTAGTGCATTTGATTTAGTGCATTGCTGATTTGATCCAAAGCTTTGTTTTATGTCGCCTTTTGCTGTTAAAAATTGTGTTGTATAGCATACCTAACTTTAATAATTGAATAAAAAAAGCACAGTTATTTTTAATCTACTGTTTGGCAGCAAGGTGAGGCAAGACACAATTCAAAATTGTATTTAATTATGTGTTTTTACAATGTTTGAAAACTAGGTCATCAGGGAGATCAAAGGCGAGGGGGTCGGGGCGGACGTGGACGTGGTGAGAATAATTTATATATATATATAATTTAGGATTTATGTACAGTACTAGAAAAACAATACTATCATGTTGTAAATTTAATTGATCTTCGAGGCACAATCCTCAAAATCCTTTTCTGTACCTCACCATTGCAAAAACTTCAATACTTATTTTGAGAGTATTGGTGAATGCAAACTGATTTACATTGTATCCATTAAATATCAACATCGAAATGTTCAGGGAATTTTACTGAGCAGAGACCTTCAAGTGGAAACCAAGGGGGATTTCGCGGCGGTAAGTAATATTTCAATCTTGCTGTAAGAAACTAGCTGCTAGAAATTCAAGTAGATCCAGCTCCCTAATCTTTTACTTGTTTTTTCACATTCATAATTTTCTAATAATCCTACAAATTCAATTTATTGCTTCACCTGATCTGAATTGTGAATAAAACTAATCACTTTCCAATATTCTATGCTTTGCATCAGACAAAAATACTTTTATTTTACTCACAGGTAGAGGTGGACACAGAGGGGGCGGCGGTGATAGGCCATCAAGTAAGTATTTTCAGGGATGCTTTGATAGGTCTCAGTGATTTTAATTAGGAACTGAATTCTATGAGAATGTCTTTATGCAGCTGATGTCATGTCAAGCAAGAGAGATCGTATACCTAAGAGGCACCGTATTCTCATCATTAAAAGTGCATAACTAGATAATTTATTTAGAATTTGATATCTTGGTACTTAGACATGTCTGTCTCAAGGTTTCAGGATTCCAGAATCGACTGAGATTGACAATAACTGTCATTCATGTTTTTATTACATTAAATTTCCAAAATGAAACCGCTTCACCACATTCTATTATCTGTAGCAGTTATATCATGAACCTTTTTTTACCACCAAATTATTGTATATTCATACTCTGCTTGGCGGTTGGTCCATTGTGCTAAGCATTCTGAACACGTTTGCCATTGCAGCTCTGGTTACCCTGCACAGGTTTGCAGCTTTTAATTCCCTTCTGACAATTATGTGCAAGAGGGTTGCTGGACTCTTCGCTGTTGTACGATGGTGGTTGGTTTCAGCTTCCTTCACCATTATGTCTATGTATCTGAAACGATAACTGAGTATTCCCATACCCAGATGGACAGATAACTGTGGGTTACCATATGATTGAGTCTATTTTTTTTTTTTGGTGAACAGAAACAATTATAAGCTTGTTGCAATATGAAACAATGGTTTCTTGAACCTGTCAGTGAAATTCGACAGCTATAGACCAGTTCCTTGTGTTAACAGTTATATTGTCAGTCAAAGTAAATTTTTATTTATCCATTTACCCACTTTTTCAGCTGGTGGGGCCAGAAGAGGAGGAAATTGGGGCCGGGGAAGAAACTATCAACAATCTGGATCATTTGAGCAAATGTTTTCTCACGGCGGCCAAAATGTTACGCAAGGGGGTTTTGCCTCTGGTAGACAAGATTATCGAAGCTGAATCTAATTGACCTGATAATATTAAATGTTTGGAAGATCCACATTGATTGTTCGAAATCACCTGATCCGATTTCTGTTGCTTTATGAACGAAGTATGGTGTCATTACAGTATCAGTTATAACATAGTGTGTAATAGTACCCAATTAGATGCAAAGAGTAGATCCAACCATGACAACCAACGACTGATTGATCGATTTATATGGATTTTCTGGAATACTTGCCAAATTTACAGTAAATTTGAGATGTCTTGCTTATCTTCCTGTATCCCACGTTCGTGTCTTTCATGCCACTTGTCCCACATTAGTATATGGTGTTGGACACAGGAGATAGATAAATGATACAAGCGTGACAAGTGATACAAATGCGGGCGAAGAACAAGAAAATGTGGTACGAGTGGGAAAATCGGTACAAGTGAGGGGCAGGACATCTCTCATCTTCTATTATCATAACAGGAAGCAGTGCTATTGCCAATATCAATTTTTAATACCTATCCAATCTTCCGTCATTTACAATTTCTTATTTTGCTTTTTTTTCAACAAAGTAGCAGTTGGCTTATCATCATCGCAAAGTTCAAACTGGTTCTCGACGCTGATGGTGTTGATCTGTATCTGTGCCTTTCACTTATCACGGACCATTACTCGTTTTGCCACAACATTTCAAAACAACTTCTTATTTAAATTGTATTTATTACGAATCATTATTTAAATAGAATAAGTTTAGATGGCAATGTGTGTGCAAAGTTGTTTGTAGGTATGTGAAATGGTGTACAGATTTCGTCTAGAACCCGAGCAATCAATATGATTGTGGGTTACATGTAGTGAATGCAATCGTCTGCGATTCAACCGTATCGATCCACGCTTCAACGGTTTAGTTTGCGATAGGCGGTTGTTCAGCTGTCACTTTGAGTGTCACAAAGCATCGTTTCGCTTTCACGCGTGTTTTATCCACGTTAATTTTAGCATTCGTATCGGTGTTTTTACTCACGCGTTTTCATATTTACCAAACATATCTGTTGACAAACGAAAGGACTGCAGTTTAAAGTTGTTCGAATCATCCTTTGGATCGTTTTCCCATATTTTTTGCCTGGTTGATGGTTTTTCATACGTGTATTCTTCTGTTCTTGATTTTAATTTATGTTGGGAATTTTTGCGTTCATTTATACACCTGACTTGCGTAACATTCAGTCCTTGTGGTTCTCTACTAAAATTCTCTTCTTGTAGACTGTTATTATTGTTGGCGTTAAAATTAACGTTCCGTTGTTTGGGGTTTCGTGATTGCATGGAAAGCAGATCCAATATTTTAGTTAGATTGTCTTCCATTCGTCCAATTCTATCGTTTATAAGTTCAAATTCACACTGAGTTTCTGTCCGGATGTCATTAACACTTTTGATAATGTTTTCTGTTTCAACAATCATGTAAGCGCTATTGCTTGGTGGCGATGATGACCTTCCTTGCTGAATTGATAACGGGCTGTTGCTCTGGGTTAACGATGTATCATTTTCTTCCGCATCCTCAATCGTGCCGAGTTCGCGCGACACTGGACTGATCGGCGAGCCCTCTGGTGTTACTTTGGCAGATCGCCGTTTTTTCGTTGACTTAGCAGCACTGTTTCTTTTAGTCGCTGAAGTTTTGTCAGTGGAGTCTTCTGTAGTTCGGTTTTGCGTGCTAGCTTTTGATTCATCAGAATTCGGACTAACTTCACGTACTACGTTTTCTTGAGCGGCTTTTCGATCTCTGTACCGACTCTTGAATCTATAAAGTATGTTGATAATGCCGGGTTAGATTTAATCAAACATTTTTCGTGTAACTTTGGTTATTTGAAGTATTGTTGGAATGGTGCCGGAATAACATTGCAAACTATAACAAGCTATAGAATTCGCTAATAAGTACAGAGAAGCTGAATATGAACTTTGAACTCGGTTGATTTTTATTACCTATTAACTCCAAATGGGCGAGTAAATTGGGAAGTTATAGCACCTGGGTGCAAACTATAACAAGCTATAGAATTTGCTAATAAGTACAGAGACGCTGAATATGAAGGTGAACTCTGTTGATTTTTATTGCTTTTCAACTCCAAATGAGCGAGTAGATTGGTAGTCAGAGTAACCTCATTCATATTAAAAATTTCAAAGGTCAGTATTCGTTGCTATTCGACACCGTTTCACCAAATACCTAGTCTCTATTTTACCTTCGAAAAAGTCGTCGAATGGGATGATCGTCTGGGAAATTTCCTTCCCAATCTGGATCATTAGCTTGACGGAATTCTCGCTCTCTTTCCCGGCGCACATCTGACATTTTTCGGTATATAACCTAAAAAAACAAGTACTCAATGAGAGAAATACTCAAATATATGGACAATAATATATAAGACCAAAACGAAGTAGTATATATCGAATATTCGACAGCAGGGTTGTGCAACATTTTTTTGTCGGTGGGCCATTTACCCAACTCCAGACATATAGCTGGGCCGCAAGTTTTTACGTGCACACAACGGCGATGAAAATTTTTATTTATTTAACATTCCAGTGAGACACTTGAAATTCTGAGTTCCTGCACAATTTGTTAACATTTGCTTTGGAAATTCTGCAGGTATCACTCAGCCTCAGTAATAAAGACACCGGACAAAACGACGAAAGATTAACCACAGCGACAAGAGCAAAATTTTTTTATGAATTTTTACCCATGTGAGCGCCTTTTCAAACATAAACTGTCGAATTAAAATTTTATGCATGACGAAAAACAATCGGAGTGTTATTAAGGGCCACTGAGGCCCACAAGCCGCAAGTTGCACACCCCTGATTCTACAGTATAGGACAGGTAGTCTTGACTACCAGATCACTGAGATGTGATCACGGCACGCAATTTTCAATTTTGATGACTGAAATCGTAAATCTCAAGTTCCAGTACGCGAAAATGACAGGTGATATCTTACCCTTTTTCTTATGTTGAAAGTAAGAACCATTTTTCGAGCGAATGAGGTCGCAAATGATTGATAAAAGTTCAAAACTCGAAGTAGTGGCTCTCTCTTCACCGAATGTAAATCACAGTAAGTAAGCGCACGGACGTGACATTCTGATTGTCCGACCGTTGGATCAAGCCAAAATGTGTCACCAAAAACGTCGCCTTTACCTGAAAAATAGAAATTACTAAATATAAAATAGCCATATATATTAATATCTGGAAGTTTATAACAATTTAAGCCCTAAATTTCTCCATAATTATTGTTCTAAAATTTTCAACCGTTTAGAGAAATTACGGAACGGTAATAACGTAGGCTACCAATATTACAGAAACAAATCCTGCATACATTTTGATCGTTATGATATGTAAACATATCGCTTGGCAAAATATGCGCATTCTAAACAATATTTCCTAAATTTTCGATCAATACTCACTTAGAATGGCGACTACTTCATCATCCTGAATAACTTCCAGCGATCCAGAAACGACAAAGCACAATGTATCAACGCTTTCTCCTCTGTGATAAATGATGTCGCCTGGTGCAGTATGCGTGGTGACAAATTCTATTGCTATAGCACGAAGACAACTGTCACTTGCCAATCTGTAACGTTACGCCAAAATTGAATTTGTTTCATATTTCATATGGTTCGCCATATATATTCGAGGTACAACTATGGTACACTGCAATCAAATATTAGATTTGAAATCGCCGGAAGATGATGGTGTTTTTGGCAGAACTACTTTTGTAAGAATATCTATCCTGCGAATGCAATCAAATCTGGCAACGAGGTCGTCTCAGTCATTTCACTTTAAATATACTGTAAGTCTGTAAGGCTAATATTATTTCAAATCAGTACTCAGCCCAATAAATGGGCATTGCATTTGTATGTATTTTCTTCTAATGGCAATATTTCGGTACCGAGTATTAGTGAAGGATTTGAGAATAGAATTGCGAGATATGAAAATATTGGCAAATATATTATAACTTCCAGTTTATTTCCTATCTTTCATTTCATGCCCCTGGGAGCAAATGTACACTTTGGAACCGATAATTTAAATATTTATTTTAAATAATTCATATACTATTTACTAGAGTACTTGGCAAGCACATCCAGCCACTGGTTTAATTGCAATACTAGTCTATTCAATGGTATGTATTCAAGAAGCCAGCCTCAATATTAAGATACATTGTTCCGATTTCAGACAGCCACAGAAATAAGTCCAATATTTTAACACAATCAAAATAATTTCTAGAACGTTGATTCGATATCTTAACCGTTAAAATCCTATTTATTATTATTACATCATCCCACTTGAAGCTTTTCAATATTTTTCAAAAATGTATGTCCCACTGGTGTCACGCGACATCGATAAAAGCATTTGTGCGAGTGTCAAAATTGAAAATACCGAAATGTAATCCTGTTAATGCTCGCTTCCTTTCGGGAAAATTGAACCCAATGACTCTCTTGGGTCGTGTATTGCTAACAAACTACTTTCCAAGCTTGAATATGCGAGAACTCGAATAAATCTATGTCGCTTTCAATTTTAAGACAAATTTAGTAAATGAAATTGTCACCATAACTTTATCATGGCTGAGTCAGAGGGTATTATGCTTTATGCATATTGTTGTTAGAAAAACATGTTTGGTGTAATCTTAAAAACTAAGTGCTTTTTCCAACCGTTTGGTTGAGGTCACGAGAGATACCGGAGGATGATAACAAATTTCCACTCCATTTGCGATTGTTTACACCTCTCGCTGTGGCCTTTTTTAATATTTTATGCTTTGAAAACTAACATTGTGGTTGAGCGACGACAGCCGTTTTGTTTTCAAATAGAGTGCAAGGTAGGCTTGCGCCTCGCTTATTTTCCACGCAAGAATAGGACAGCAAGTTTATTCGGACAAACTTGATATTTCAAAGCTGACACAAGCGTTTCTAAGACAATTTTTATACATTTCGAAAAAACTTAGAAGTGGGTCTAGTTTCGATGAAATCAGAAGATAATTGCCCTGGATTTATCGCCTGAAAACAACAATTCCAGCCGTACAATATTGACTTTTTGATCGTCATTGATTGCTTTATTGAACGAAATCCATTTACTGAAAAAGTTTTGTATTACATGTGGCTTAACCATAACATGAACTTATTTCATGCGGTTTTCTTTGTATTTACTTGTACGTTTGATAAAGCCTAAAGTTCAACTTACTTCAACAACGTCAAAATGAATTGATAAAAATGAATAACCAACCTGAATGATGAATGCTCATTGAATACCTTCCTATTGAGATGAACACAAATATCCGCTTTCATATCTTTGGGACAATAATTGAGAACCTGTGATATAGAAAATATTAGGATGACTATCATCATCGAGAGTCAGTGTGTCTAATTTGCTGGTTCAGTTTGCTGGACGGCAACAATTTGAAACATATAAACTTATAAAATTAGTTCCAATTTGCATACTCGCCCAACGATGACAAATGCGAAATGAATGTTTATTTACTGTGATGAATTTGAGCAAATTCAGAAACTAAGTGTATTGATTGTTATAAAATATTTAGATCCTTCTTGATCTAGAATTGCATCGTATTTTGCTACATCAGTCGATTCTATAAGGAATTTTCAAAAAGTTATATTGCTTCATGCTTGAGATTGCCTATTAGATTCAAATAAAATTTTTATTTCAATACCAATTTTTTCAGTTCACCGTAGCACAGTCTACAATTATAAAAGTTGGCATTTATTTACACATGAAACATTAGATAAACCATTTAGCAGTATATATATACAGTAGATAATTGGAATTTAATAGAAAAAAAGTAATAGAATTTAATGACACAAAAGTTTTGGCTGATTCATACGTTAGTTTGATGTATACAAATAATACATTTCTTCAACATTCTTGTTAAAAAAATAGATAGAGACATTTAAAATTTTGGTACTCCCATAGTATATGTAACAGGCCAAATACGGATTAGGGTTAAGCCATAATTTTATCCGATTTTTCTTATTAAGCTTTCCTATTGAACTAAGAATATTTTGGTTCTATTACGAGTTCGGGGACTGTCTGTGTTATCCAGGTGAATATACCCCCTTGGTTTCAGTCCATTTATACAACTTGATGTAAAGTGCTTGATGCTTACAAAATTAGTTACCTCCATATTGGTAAATACACTTCTGAAGCGCCAAAATTTTGGCAGCACTCTGTATGAGAGTGTACTTCTCTATTTGACCGTCCCACCCGTATGCATTATGCTTATTGGTTTAGTTCCTAACTATGATAACATCAGTCCATGAACTGTTAACATTCGTGAAATATCATTTTACCGGCTAATACGAACTTACCACGTCCTGTCAACCGTCAGTAATGTCCCAAAAAATAAATTATTGATAAAACCTAGATTTGGCAAAATAACCCTTGACACTGTGAGTAGATAATAAATTATTAAGCACTGTCATGCGCTGTAACATGCAGTAAACTAATCGTCAGCCACCAACGCAAAAAACTAAAAAGTTTCATTGATTTACAAATGGGTTCTACTATCGAAATCCAGGCTCTATTTAAGTCAAAGTGTATTAGTCACGAATGTAGCATGCTTGGTGATTGCATACATTTTGAATTAAAAATTACTCGTTTTGTACGGACTAATCGCGTGGAATAAGGTAATATATCGAATGCCGCCATTTTGTGACCAATTTACTCCAACTGTTTTCTCTTCTATTTCTGTCGTTAATACAAACCATTAACAGATTAAATAGTCATTACCAACCTTCTGAGTGTCAATACCCTTGCTCATTGACCACGTGGACACAATGTAGTCCATAATTCGATCGCTGAGTCCTTCTGGAATTTGATAAAGTTTCAAAAATTCTCTAACACTGTTGAGCATGTCATGATAACGATTTGTATCGGCATACATCTGCTGAATTATGGTTGTCACATTTCCAAAAATAGTCGCGTACAACAACGCTGTAAATTTACCACAAGAAAAATATTACTCAAAGATATTAATAGTAGTTATAAAAATCTATTAATTCAAGCAAAATTATATTTAATGCTCTTAACAAAGCAGACAGAACGGGCGCAAACCAAATTCACTAATTTCAGGGGTTCCGTCTTGGCCCTAAGTTGTTTTGAATTTTTTATCATGTGTATAAGAGCAAGCGTTTTGGCAATGAGTCTTGATATATATATTAATTGTAATGATGATTTTAGCGGTGTATACACAGTCGAAATAATCCTAACTCAAATAAATACTTCTTGAGTCTCGACCTTATGGTGTGGTCGGAGTGATTAGTTGCCATATGTATATCCAAAGTAGTTCGTAAAATTTGAAACAAGAAAATGTACCAAGTTCTACAGCGTATATCTTAGTTTAACAAATCCTTTTTATCATTCTTTACTTGTAAACTATTACCAATTCAAGCATCTTAATATATATATATGTGACTAAGCAATCTTACCGCCAAAAATTAACATAATAACGCAAAATATCTGTTCGTTTTCTGTGTTCGCTGATATATTTCCGAACCCAACTGATGTTAAACTTGTCATAGTAAAATATAACGATGCGATATAACATTCTTGTGTCGATGGTCCTCCTCCTACCGTACCATTTGCTGCAAACAAAAACAATTTATCAAAATATTGTCAAAGTATTTTGGTTCAGCGTGATATACTTGATCACAGTCCAAAGACGCCTTATATAATAAGTTCATCGTACAGTGGGCTGGAAAATGTGCATGGCATCAATCTTTGAACTTCGAGACAGTTACTCAAGTTGATTAAGTGTCTTGAACATACATAATACATTTAACTCTTCAACATAGTGTAGAACATATTGTCTGCTTTTGTGGGATGTAAGTTCAGACGGGAGTGATCGAACCATCACGTAAAAACGCAACTTAACATTCATATGCATACAGTCTCTTTTAAGCGCCAATTAGCACATATACCTTAGCGCTAGGAACACGCCAACGTTGCTCACTCCTTGCAGAGAGTCATAAACGAATTATGTGCAAAACAATTGTTGGAATCCTCGCTGCTGAAGGATGGTACACATAACCGCGATTACGGCATTTTTTTACTTGTACAAGTCTTCGTACTAAGAACGATTATTTGGACAGTTAATCGTAAAAAAGGTCGAGGTTCGCCAAACGATTATTAAATTTAAAAATCGCTTTCATTTAATGCTTGTCTATACATCAATGAATGCGATCATGAATAAAAAAAAAAGTAGTGTGAATATGACAAGATGATACTTACGGTACAAGTAATATTCTTTATCAAGAGTCTTCCCGAGTTGCACAAGCCAATTATAACTGGTCAACGTCATATTTTCTCTTGAAATTTCTTGCCAACCGATTGTATACCACAGGCAAGCAAGCCAATGCCCTGACAATCCGAAGAAGCAAACCTGCCAAATGATTCTTCCCATTAGCTTTAATATTTAATTTTGTTTAAAATCTTTGTCATTTATTACCTTGTGAAATTAAATCAAAATAGAACTCGTAAATTAGATACGAGTGTTGGCTGTTTAGAGCCTATGTTTAAATCCCCAATGTTGTTGAGGCCACTTTGTGTGGTCAAAGACTCTATTTAAATTCCAAATATGGTTTCATCTTGAATATTTTGATATAAATCGGGAAACGAGATAACGTTACTACAACCTAGAGAAGAAGTGCTATATGTATAGTTTTGTTACATTACAATTCGATAGGGGTTTAACTTACCAGAAGTACCAACATTGCCCCTCCATATTCAATATAATGATCAAGTTTCCTGGCCACCCTGCCTAATCGCAGAAGTCGAGAGACTTTTAAACTGCTGAAGAGGCTGCTGATGCCCTGAAAAAAAATATTTTGTTTCATATTTCATAATTTCGCGTCTTTTGGGACTTTAAATTAATATAATTGCGCTCATCAAATGGCGGATTATATGTCTCCCTCGGGTCTGTCCCCGATGCCAAAAAACATGCTATGAAAGCTAAATATGATTTTCTGGATTAGGAATGGAAAATGGCATTTTTGTATGAGTCTGATTTTTAAAATTATTTGCATATCAACTCGACATTTGTAAATTTCGTGCGATACAGTTCACTTGTCACAAAATTTCATCGCGAACGATTATCATTTTTATTAATTTAGGCCAGTGTTTCATAAATGAATGATTTCTTCCAACCTGAGAATGAACTTGAAAATGGATTGCAATCTGTGTGAATGAGAACAATTTCTAATCAACAAAGCTTACGAAGATATAATTTGAATATTCAATTTCATCTTCGACTTTCCCAATTGTTCCCAAAAGTCCAATTATTTAAATCAAATATTTAGAAGGTGTTATCAATATCATTTTAATTATCGACTTTAATCAAAGAAGTTGTATTCTCAATTTTTAATGAAATATAATATCCTATGAATGACCTCGATAAAACGGATTAAAAGTTTGACATCGATATCGCCATTGTTATCGGATAATTTCTTAAAGTTAAATTAAATCTGTTCGATTACGACAGCTTGCTCAGTTATTACAGTTAAAATGAACATCGATTTATGCCTATTATTTTTCGAGCTCATGGAACTTTTCTTCTTGTTCTCAGTAAGTAGAGTCTGCCCAGCACAATAAGTTAAATTGAGACTTTTTACTCACGTAGCACCATGCAATACCCACTGTATGTTTTTACAAAAATGACATTATCATGGCGACTACAACGAGACAAATATTTGTGAATAAAAATCGCATAAATTAGCAAATACTGATACTAATAGTTTCTCGCTACTGGGAAATTTAATTGAATTTGATGCTTTTTTATTATTGTCTACTAAGAAGATGGTGATAACACAAGGAATTCCCTTGAATAATTCATGATCTTCTCCTCCATCGAACTTGTTTAATGCATACAGCATAAAGTAATTGAAGAGTTTTCATTAACTGTAGGTCAACTCCATTAATGAATGGCTTTTCAAAGTAGCTTTTTTGTTGAATTTGAATACTTGTCTGAAGAATTTTAGTGTGAAAACTACAATTTGTGACCTCCTGAAGTATGCGCACCAAGATGGCGCACAACCTGAACTCATGTTGTGTACCAGGTTAGGGTTCAGGTTATGCGACATCTTGATGCGCATACTTCAGGAGTACCACAATTTGTTTAGTAGATATAATTAATATATATATGCTGAAATCAGTTCACTGAGAGAAGCTTTATACTCTTTCCAGCGTTCTACTTTTTTCAACTTCACAATTGGTTACCTGTTGCTTTAATCTCTTAGAAATTTCGGCAAACAGTACTGTTAAATTAATTATAATCAGCAGTTGGTATATTTACCTCGTCAGTAAATCCATTATCGTTTGATGTGAAAAAATTAACTAGATCGTAAGGAAGGCACGATAATAAGTCGATTACAAACCAACTCTTTAAATAATTCATTCGAATAACTTTTGGGTCGGATATAACTTCACCTCCTGGTCCGACGAAAGTTGTGTGAAAATTTAAGACAATGTCAATGAGAAATATCAAATCCTGCAAGAAAATAAATCATGTTATTCAACACAAAACTCATAATATATGACAACAAATGCGCTAGAGTAGTGGTGGGCAAGGTTTTGGGACCTAGGGCCAGAAATTTTGCCCGTCTAGACTGGCGGGCCATGTAAGTGTGACGTAAAAGTTACATTCTATGAACAGTATTTACAGTGTTACAAAAGCAAAATTGGAAAACAATAATCCTTGAGCCGAACTAAATTTAAGTTCGGTAAATAAATTTAAGTCACTAGCCAAAGTGACAAATTTGACAAACGTTTTTTTTTTAATTTGGCAAAAAACAGACAAATTATACAAGTAACCATTAGTTAAGAGCTCGAAATAAAAGCCATCCCCCGAGAGTTACTATTCCATTTCAGGAAAAAGGATTCTGTTGCCGGCATAATTACAGAAACATGCATTTTCGGTGAATTTTAGATTTAAGGTCGCGAATCGATTGGAATCTTGAATCGATATTAATGGCAACATTGAATTAAAGGGACTTATGCAAAGGATTAGATATGCGGCGACATGAAGAGACATTCATTGGATTGTCCCCAAGAACCGTGCATAGGAACTAAGATGCCGCTTCGATTTGGGAATCAAATAAATTATATGGTAGACTACAGATCATTCGGTAGTTCTCAATAAATTGCGAACGATGTATTATTTATGAATCGGAAATTAATTGTACATTAGTCGCAGCGTAAAATGTTACATAAGACATTGATAAAATACATTCACTATCAAATATTGTTCAGGTATATCCATTTCAAATTGATTTGTTCAAAAAGGCGATGGTATTTTTCAAAATAACTGAATTTTTAAAATGATGGTAACTCTTCATTTCAGAATGATTTATTTTGTAAAATTAAATCATGACAAATCGTGGAGAAACCGCATACTCTTAATTAAAAATTATTTTTTATGACAGTCAAACACCACTTACCACCATACTGTCGGAATAAAGCCAAGCTGCTTTACGTTCTTTGATTTGGAAAGAAACATTGTAAGGCACTATCACCGCAGTGTAGAAAGTTAATATGAGTATAAACCAATCCCAACACATTTTAAATGATGAATAATGAAGAATTATTCCCATCGGAGTCTTGGGAGATTCGTGATGATATTTCGGTAACATTTCAGGATTCAAGTTAAAAAGCTGCAAAAATTTGTTTTTTGTTAATTTTAGAAATGATAATACATGAGATGAACAATAGTCTGTAGATATTGTACATACTATTCATCAGCTTTGGTGTGTTTGACGAAATTGAAGTTTACTATCTGTTTACCTGACTTGTGTAAACAGATTTTGTGTTGATTTTAATTACGTTTTTCGATTGTGCTTACATTCATATACACCCAACCTAACTTTTACACGACCACAATAAAAAAAAGTCTCTTTTTCGCCCGTTTATTTTAAGTCAGCACAAAAGCTGAAAGTACCACCAATAACTTCCCGTCCTTAAATAAAATTCTGCCCCTAAGCCTTGATTACGGGTGATGGTTTCAATTGTTCCATACTCAGATTTCATGTAAGATACATTATGATCAATTCCTTAGGATTTGTGGCAATACATCATATGTCTGTGCTTCTGCATAGTTTGGATATTATTCGGGATTATTTCTAATCGTTGTGAATACAATATCGAATAACAAATTTCGTTCAACTATATTTTCTGCTTTTATCTACATTCGATTTATGAAAGGCATGTTGAAGTAAGATTTGGATTTATTATAAAGAAGTATTCAAGGATGTCAATATTCAGATACTACATTTTTTAGATTTTACTTTGTGCAACATTATCATTGTCGAACGAATTTCGAGTATAAAAATGAAAAACAAATTTGCGGTCATGAACGAACCTCTGAAATTTTTTGATTTCGTTCCTGAATATCTTTCGCTGAGATTTCTTTTCCTTCTTCTATTTCAATTTCTTGATTTCTTTTCATCCGACTTACAAAATTGTTAAATTTTGAAAGACCCTCTGTTGCAAAATTAAGTTAAATATGAGAAAATCCAATGATCAATTAATTACCAACAATTACTCCGACTTTGAAGTATTTCACAATTCAGTCAGTATCTAATCAGTTTAGGTTGTTTATGAATGTAAATGCTCAGCACAATATTTAATAAAACTGTTTATATTAAACTGAAAAATTTATTGAACCCGTTATTGTATTTACGGAGAAAATTGACGAATAGATTTTTGCAATTAGAATACCTCACAAATTAAGCTAACGGTTAACGAAGTAAACTGTTAAATAAAATGCTAAACTAAATGATTCGGTACAATTGCAACCTCATCAAAAGTCATTCTTCATTCTCCAATAGGGCTGGACATTTCGAATCCAATATCAGAATCGAATAGTAAATTATTCGAATTAGTTCAGACGAAAATTTCAAACTGCCGCCATCTTGTTTTTTTTTTGTTCGCCAAAGGTCGAAGTGAATCAACCCGGCGGGCTGACAAATATTTTTCAAGTATTCGAAATTCGATTCGATTCTGAAATCATCAGGTATACGTAAATCGAACAGCCGTAGGGAATTGTACACATAATAAAACAGTTTGAAATTTTTATAATTAGTATAATAAAAAATTCAAATAATATGGAACATTGGATTCAAATTGAATACAATTGAAGTTTGTTCATTATGTTGGCAGAATAAAATCTATAAACCTTTTTTATCTTGTGTTATTGGTCTCTTGATGAGAGTTATATCTTTGAATATCAACAGATACATTACTGTTGTGTCTGCGTCGTTCTTGATCGGTGCAACTTGTAAGAGGAACCACATCGGCGTACCTGGAAAAATGTTTACAGCAAATTTAAGTTCTATAATATCTTCAGCATTGTGTTTCATCGCCATAGTTTCAAACAGTTCGGTAATAGTAATTTCGTAGATAATGTACGATATCGGGTATGAGATGACAGTTAATACCTCTATCAAAAATATACGATATTTTTATTCTTCAGTTGAGACTTAAGTTAACTTTACAATTCTCATTTGGAAATTTTTTGTTGCAGCTGGCTCGTAATTTATAGCCTTTATATAATAGAAAATACTTTTCGACTTCACGAAGTAGAAATCAATTCATTCGGATGGATTAGAAGGAATTGTAAATGATCATTTGCTATTACAATAGTGATTGAACGAGAATTGGCGCCGCATAATGCGGATAATAACCTGTGATCCAAGTTAAACCATTTGATCATTCACTTCTACTTGTCGAGGAAATCGTTAAATACTTTATGCCAGACAATCGGATTACCTTGACATATGGTCAGTGGAGGCGTTACTCGTTATACATTTTACAACGGGTTATCATAGTTTCTACATGAATATAGACCACTGTACTGTACTAATAATGATTCCACATACAGCATAGGTATTTTTGTTAACGACTGACTCTAAATGAGGTCTTCTTCGCATTAAAATAAACTTGAAAATGACTTGCCGTATATGTACCGCTAGTTCGTCGAGCTCGGATAAGCTCTCGGATAAATTTTTATTAATTTATTTTTATTATAATAATAAGAAATACAAAGCACTTCGCAAAGTAGCATTTCGTGCTGAACTTTAGGAAATATGTCACTCAAATGTGATAAAAAAAAAACTTCAAACTTTTCTATTGTAGTAATATTGCCCACACTAAACCACGTTATTTCACCAATTCGCTACAGCCATTTTTTGTCGTCATGGCATAAACCAGTTTGTCAAAAAATAGAGCGTTGCCGTCAGTTTTGTTTCGATTGGTATTTTAGTCATCAGAATTGGTAAGTATAATAATAGCTTATCCGCGTAGAAGTAGTTTATCTTTTAATCAAATTCACTCCATATATAAAAAAAAAATTACGAATTCCCATTCAAGTTTGATAATTTATATTACAATGCCGGCACAAAAGATTTTCCAAGTTTATCGACGCTCAAGTTGATATTGCCACGATAAAAACAAATTAAACAGCAGACAGATGATGTGTTGTAAATACTCATGTATTCATTCGATGAATTATATTAATTAACAACCAAGTAATGGCATTGCTAACTGTACCCATGGCCACGATTACACAGAATTACTTAGTCATCACAGGAAAAGTTAGCAATAAAGCGATGGTATTGATTGATCACGTTAAATAACGATTTTCGAGAAATTCAGTTGTCTATGCCAGTTTATGTTTTAATGAGGTATCACAAAGTCATGGTTATTATACTGTTCAATACGTACCTGATTTGTCGTAAAGTAGCAATTCAAATTTTCCAGTTTCATTGTTATCCAGAGTATCTTTCATTTTTTGCAAAACATCCTTGTCCGTTAGATCTCTGTTACATAAAAAATAAAAAATTATAACCATAATTCATTTTTGGTGTTTTTGAATTTACTCTAAATACCAAGCCTTTCAAAACATGAGACTACAAATATGGTAAATTGTAGCGACACGATGATTCAGTTTGAGACAAAAGTCGTTTCGTATAAAAGCAAGTTGTCAACGCCAGTGTACTGGTGAATACAAGCAAAATAAAGTTCACACAAAAACGAAGCGATCAGTGCTGTATATATATATAAGGTCTTATCCTTGCTAAAAACCGATTTGAAACAGGAAGAATCCTAGAATTTAACAATCAATTTATTGGTACAAAAATTAGTTTACCTGTGCATAAATTCGCAGATGCATGAAGCAGTCATAATTTCGGACCGGTTGTAACCAGTACTTTTGCAAAAACCTTCGTTTGCATAAACAATTGGCCAACCCCATAATTGCGCATTGGCCAGTAAGAAACTGCTATCTATAAAATAGAATAAATAAAAATCATGTGAACACGCAAACAAGAAAAGTAACTTTATAATGTTTCCTAATAATTCAAGAGCATGGAATTAGTGGCCTATCGCTCACTTCGTCACGCCAATCATGTCTTTAAAATGAGATTTTTCCGTATACCGCACTTCAACGATACATGATTTTATTAGTTTCGTCAATTTAAATACCACACAAGGCAGAAATGCATTTTGAAAATCAATTATATACGGGAAATCGGACTATATATATATTTAAAAGTACATTTTTATTAGGAGTCCCCTTGGTACTGGTTGTTGTCAATACATATCACTGAATAATGTATGTTACACTAAAAGCTTTCAATATTGGCTAGTTCCTGTTTCGTATTGATACTTACATCTCGATTACTTACATTTCTTTTATCTAGCAAACTGATGGTATGTAGCTACGCCACAATTTATGAATAATTTAAAAAAAAGAAACATGTAAACGTCATTCATAAAAATTCACTGCAAATGCTTGACAAGAAAACTTGTTACAGTTAATGATAAAATTGTAACTTGAATTTAATATTGGCAAGTTGAAACCGAAGACGTGCATTTGGGAATTTGGGTGGAGTTTGGAAAGGGGGAAAAATATCGTGATGCAAATGCAATAAATGTCCAAGAATCTAATGGTTACATACAAGTCAATTGAAGCAAGTCAAGACAAACCGAATCAATATGCTAATTTTAACGTCAAGTTCAGTCTGAAAAACGGGTACTCCCGTAGTATGTATAGCAGGTTAGGGTTAGGCCATAGTTTTATTTCGATTTTCCATATTTTAGTTCTATTACGAGTTTGGGGACTGTTTGTGTTGGCCAAGTGAATATACCCCTGCTCATAGGCTTCAGTTTCTTTACATAAATTGATGTAATGTAGGAGAACAAAATTAGAGTCCTCCGTATTGATACACATACTTCTGGAGCGCCGAAAAATGTCCGTTGTAGTTTTAAGGATCAAGCTGCTTCAACAAAGCCGTAAACCAAAATCAAAGCGATCCAAAATATTCATTACATCGAATAAATGAAAATCGCAACAACTACACAAATTTGCGGAGACAACTGCACGGGGACAGTCCGTGAATATTTGATATATATATACAAACATTCTGCGATTTTATGTATTCAAACAATTCCAGTTCTAGCGATCTAAATCAAGTATATGAAGAAGTACACTCACTTGTTTCGTACTGATTAGTTTTTCTTATAACATTTTCCAAGAATGTGTTTTGCGGGGCAACAAGGCCTCGCTTCGATCCGGCAGGCATTTCATGCGTCGATCAACACTCAGAAACGATCCAAAAGAAATTGTGATATTTAATCTATTTAATATCACCGTTGAAATATGTTTCATTTATTTGTTATAGTGTTAGGGAATGTATATATACTATCCGAATGATCCGTGCTTTGATCGCAATTATGTTGTGTGGTTATCGTCATCAATACTTGGAAGAATATTCCACTCAAGTCCTGTTTGAAATTTTGATGTCTTTTCCACTTCTGATTCACTTTCATTCCGCGTTGTTGTCACAACAACAATTCATACAATTTCAGGCGATTTTGCAAGTAATCTACATTGCTGTCAAAAATTATTCAATTTGATTAAATTGCTTCATCTTTTTTCGGAAAACAACTATTTCGGAGTCACTTTGGTATGCGATCACTTACTTAACGTGATATCAATCAAATACGAAAGGGACAGCACTTGTGTCAGACATTCTCATAGAATTCATTTCTTAACCTCAACTAAAATCACACGACAGTTGATATCGCATACAAAAGTAGCATAATATTTTCCTCCCACCTGTCTTTTCATGATATCTATTTTTAATATTGAAATATTTATTCATCATCAATAAGATTGCACGTACCATAGTGTATAAAATAACTGATTATACAAGAAGTGTTTTCTGTATTAATACGCATTTAATAAATTAATGGTAACGCCAAATTATCTATACTAATCCAATTACAAAGCTGTGTACCATCCCGCTAATGTGTATTTTACCTTATCTTATCCTTACTAACTGAGCATGTATATTTGCAGTTTATGCTGCCTTCTAACATCCCGGAGCGCCGACATTCAAATACCTTTTCCCCACCTTCTATCTACATGGAGTTTACTCTTTATTGTAGCAATACGGCTTAATCGATCATAAGAAATTATTATTCCACATCGACCGGCTGTCGATTTGACTTAACATTTAAAAAAAGGGGCGAAGACCAATTTTACACCTTTCACGCGACTGGCGAAATGTCACTGATAGCTCACTCCTCCGACAAAAGGGCTCTCGGGAATCTGATCGATGCATCCGTTGCGCACGCGACTACACGAATGTGAAATATGCAAACGACTCGCGACAGCCATGTGGTTCGATTTGTGGCAACCCGAAAAATATTTGAGAGTAACAAGGAATATATAAGCAGTCTAATTAGCTTTACCGAGCCACGGTACATTAGCGAAACGTGTTGAGAGCTCTGTTATTTAATGTTGTTGACAACCAACTGACAAAGTAATAGGTTTTTACAGAAATGGCATGATGTTCAAAACGTTCTCGTTAATTTTTTAGTTTAATGATTTTTGTCGATGTTATGTAATAATTTATATTTTGGAATCGATAAAACCCACAAAACGCGTATTTGAAATAAAATAAGTGCACTTTAATTATTCTGTACAATTTAATGAAATGAAAATGAAAATATACATCGTTTGATATGAGTTACTACTGGCGTTGATTTGGTTAACATTTGGCGTTTAATTTCACTGATTTTTGATTTATCAATTCAAATAATTCATAAAAAATTATAAAAAAAATTGGCAATGTATTCCACGCGGTGTACAAGTGAAACGGCGAACATGCTTAATGATGACTGCTTAAACTTTTATGATTGCTGCGTTGTTAAAGTTTTAATGTTTACTCCGTTGAAGACTATAATTTAAGATATTTAACTCAATTAAATGCATATAAATAAAGAACGAAGACACAATCAAAAATGCGTGACGCCATTCCAGGCTTTTTGTGAAGTCTTGTTGGTGCCATAAAGGCATAAACACTGCTTCCCTCAATTTGACGAGGATCACTGAATACTGGTATTGGCCTCTTTTTCGTGTTGGAGCGAGGTCGTAGTTGCGGTGGTTCAATGGAACGTGCGCTTTTGCAGCCTAGGTGATCATCGGTTGACACCTCGGTTCTATCAAATATGCACCTGTTCTAACCACCTCGCGATAGTAAATCATTTCTTGGTATTGTATATCCATGATATAAATAAAATATATTGTGGTAAACTATCTGACATTGGTATGGCACGCTAATGTTCGTATGGATCATTGATGGGCAATACCGCCCTCTAGAGGATAAAACACGGAAGGAGTTAGCGCATTTCGAAGGATCAGAATTATCGCGAAACTTGTCCAGTTACTTTGTGATATGTGTAAAAACGATTGTCTTATTTAACGATTGTAGTATTCTAATTAACTGTGTGCGTTTTTCTATCGAATAAATCAAATCGAATCCAGAATCCTATTTTATTTTCATAGTTATTTATTTAAATAGTGGGAATTCCCCACTACAATGCATGATTAAAATTTAAAAGAAGCTAAATTGCAGCCTAATTGTATAACTATCTTTGTACTTTATTTAATTGGAAATGTCCTGATCATTGGATTTTATTTAACCAAGGCAACGAGATTTAAGAATTTTGACGATCGTTTTTTTGTTTTTAACAGTTCAATATTCTCGATTTAACTACTATCAAGTACGAGCCAGAGTGTTTATTCTGTGCGAAGTCCATTTTCTATTACAAAATCTTCATGTTCTGTTACCGGTTTTATCGTTTTATATATAAATATACGTGCGCACGTACGTATTATATAAAAAGCGACAAGTTTGAAAAGTCGTTGTCTTTGCGTTATGGTGTTATATGCTTTTCTTTGATTCTATATTTTGCAAAAAAACGTACCGACCGTTCCGTAAATTTAGAAGCGTCAAGCCGGGTATATGAAATAAATTTCCCAGATTTTAAACTCCGTGTCATAAGCCATTTCTTGCATGACCGGAACATAAAATTGATTAAAATCAAATGTTAGAATGACTTTTCGGCGTTTTTTCGGCGGAATTTGCAAATTCCGTAACTAAAATTGAGCATTACTCAGTACGTATTTTAGCTATAATAACCGTCGGGGTGTTATTTCGTTGAAAAAAAACCTTAAAACTTAATAGCTATTTCAAATTAACATTCAGAATTCACGCAATCGCAGATTTGCAAGGTTTATCTATCTTATGCTAAAATAACACGAACACCATAGAAAAGCACGAGAAACTCAAGTATCGTTTTAATAAATATCTGCATCTCGGTTATCGTTCACTTCAAACAGGCACTGTTAATTTACAAGCGGTGATAAGTAAGATCAAAGCCAAGGCAGAGGATAAAACTCAGAACAAAATTAATTTGGTTTCGAAATCAGTCCTCAAGTCTTCAACAGCTGTCGCTGATGTGAACGCACGGGTATACGAGAAATTTAAAACTTCGATATCCGGCTACCCCTTATACTTGCAAAAAACGAGAAAAGGCGGAAATATAGATTACCAACTTTAGGATATCGCGGTGACGGAGGCAATCAGCGATTATGATGAAATTAACTTTTAAAATAACACTTTATTGCCGACTTTTCAATGTTTCTATTAATTTCCAAAGAAAGTATCGACTTCCGACGTACTGGATCCCTGTTGTGTATAAAAATATTTATCATTCGACCATTCGTTATTCGTTCAAAATATTCAATTCGAAAAATATTCGATTTTGCCCACCCCTTGACTAACAGCCATTAAATTTGGCTTTGATTTCGAATAAGTATGTCAAAGCGGGTCGTAATCGTGGAGGATGCAAGGTGCAGTAACGGGTTGAGATGATCGCCAGTTGATCGGCAGATATTTCGGAACTATTGAACTACTGAAACAATGTGAAAAATACACGAAAGGGAGCCAGTGATTACAGCCATGTCTAAAATCCTTCCAAGTGAAAAGGGTCCGAATGGCCGCGAAAACGCTTACTGCTGCGTCACGATTGCATCTTGTGGATTAGTCAACGCTACGCGGATGAACTTTCTACAAAACTCAACTTTCCATAACATAATTTTATTTCAACAACAGTAATGCAAATACAATCAAATATTTAACAACCTACAGCTATCCACTCAGTCAGGCCCTCCGAGGACAAAGATGACTTCAATTTACTTTTATTCGACTTGCGAAAGTATTTTAAACGGCAGAAAGTTTTGCTTTATAATCATCATTTCAGATATATTCTATTCCACGGTCTAATACAAATAAAAAAGGACATTTTATTGAAATAAAAAATTGCACTTGAATATCTTGCTTGCTGTGATATTTTAGTCAAGTGTTGGTCATATAAATTCCAGTATAGAAAATTTTTCTGGTTCTCAGTATTTCATGTAGGTTACAGCGATTGGTGCTCTACCTGGCCTAAAGAAAGTAGATTTCACTATTTGAGATTAATCATTTTATAAACTATTGGAGACGAATAGGTAAATAAGTGCATATTTGAATACTGTACTCGCTTTGAATAGTCTGGTAGACAAGCTTTGAGCAAACGAGACATTTTCTTCTAGCACCATCTCGCGGAATACGCTTCTACGTTAGTATTTTAGAAACAACGCAGCCCTTTACTTTCAAAAACACATTTTCCACCATCAGTCATTTGGAGAATTATTCTCGTTCTGTGTTCATATGTATATGGATAGGCTAGAATCAATAATAATTTTATTTGTTATTTTCGTAGAAGTGAAAGCATAAAATGTTTACGCATTTTCGCCATATTAAACTAATTTATGTATGAGGCGTTCTCCACTTTCATTCCAAAGGACAAGCATCCATCTGACATTCAAGAACTTTATCTGTTGTTATGCATCGGAATAGAGTGGAAGCAAAGCCAAGTGTCTTTTCTGCTATTCGGTGTTCCTCAGCTGCAAGCCAACAAAGTTGATCAAGTAACTGCAGATTAAGAACCGACGAAGTTAAATTAATGTATAATAATTCCGATCGATGAGCTAATCCGACACGATACCTTTTTATCCTACTAAACAACGGCACCTTTCAGACCACGGACACAAGGCTTTGAAAATTATCCTACCAGTTTATGTCACTACTTTTCTTTGTGGGGGAATTATGCTTATTTATGCAGATTCCCGAATGGGTCGACACGTTTTTATTTTTTTGAGACAATATTTCAGAGGCATTGAAAGATATCATCTATCTTATACGATAAATTGTGGAAACCGACTGCCGCAACTTTTTCATTTATTGATTTTGCTCGCATGAATTCACATTGAATTTTGTGGTATAAAATATCGATAAAAATTCATTTTTCTGCCGTAATTTATGTGCGAAAAGTTTGAGAAACAGGGGTACATTTCGACAAATTGAAAAATTTTGTATGCTTTTAATGCCGAACGGATTGGGACCATTGACTGGCGTAGTTGGAACGGAGGAAAATAAGAAGTAATTTCCAAAAGAAATAAATTGATTTCGTTATTCATATTGATTAAATA